AATAACTATAACATCAGAGATTTTAGTAATTATCCCCCGCCGAAAATTTTCGGCGAAGGATATAGAAATAGTCTCCGTCCGTCCGTCCGACCGACCTTCTGTCCGTCCGTCCGTCCGTCCTTCCGTCCGACATTTTTGTCCGGAGCATATCTCTAAAAGTATTTGAGTTATCAACTTGAAACTTCATAGGTGGATAGACCTCATTAAGGAGGAGTGCAGTGCACAAGAATGATAACTCTACCTTGCATGATTTTTGAGTTACATGTATTGCCCTTTGTTATTTTTCAAAATTGATTTTTGTCCAGAGCATAACTCCAAAAGCCTATGAGATATTAACATGAAACTTCATAGGTGCATAGATCTCACTCAGGAGGTGTGCAGTGCACAAGAATGATAACTCTACCTTTCATAATTTTTGAGTTATTGCCCTTTGTTATTTTTCATACCTAATTTTTCACCTGAGTGGAGCATAACTCAAAAATTGTTTGAGATATCAACATGAAATGTCATAGGTGGATAGATCTTATTGAGGAGGAATGTTGTGCGCAAGAATGATAACTCTTCCCTATACAATTTTTGAGTTATTCCCCTTTGTTTTTTTCATGCTATTTTGTCCAGAGCTTATCTCAAAAAGTATTTGAGGTATCAACTTGAAACTTCAAAGGTGGATGGATCTCATTGAGGAGGAGTGCAGTGCTTAAGAATGATAACTCTACCCTGCATTATTTTTGAGTTATTGCCCTTTGTTATTTTTCAAAATTAATTTTTGTCCAGAGCTTAACTCAAAAAGCCTTCGAGATATCAAAATGAAACTTCATAGGTGCAAAGATCTCACTCAGGAGGTGTGCACTGCACAAGAATGATAACTCTACCTTTTATAATTTTTGAGTTATTGCCCTTTGTTATTTTTCATACTTAATTTTTCAATTCAATTTTTTTCTCAAAAAGTATTTGAGGTATCAACTTGAAACTTCATAGGTGGATCGATTTTACTGAGGAGGGATGCATCACACAAGAATGATAACCTACCCTGCATTATTTTTCAGTTATTGCCCTTTGTTATTTTCAGCCATCAGTATTCACATAGGTTTCAAATCTGTAATCACTATAGCCATAAGTTTTCATTACCAATTAAAAGACCTCTTAAAATGGAATTATTCTGCTCTACTACATATACATTCTTCCAATGAGCAAACACATTCGGCGGGGGATGGCCATGTTGACATGGCTCTTGTTCTAGCATTGAAATATTATGTTTCCTCTGACAATTTTGTGGAATTAATTGAGATTATGTGAATGATTGTTCCAAACATTGATTAAAGAGGCTCAAGAGAGAAGTAAGAGTTCCATAATGATGTAAAATCAATTTTTTGTCCAATTTGTTTTTCTATCTGTAGTTATACATATAAGTCTGAAACTGTAATATCAAATCATGCTAAATACCCTTTATTATGAAAAAAAGGAGTAATTTATAAAATGCTACAATTCTTTGATACAGCGATCCATACTTCAGATTTCCTTTGAAGTTTATTTGACTTCCCATCAAATTTCAATATTTAATCAAAGTGTAAGCTTTAAGCAATACAATGACAATGACAATTTATTTATTGATATTGGACAATATACACATTTAGATATAATTTCTTGACTGGTGTCAGTACAGATCGATGTAATTCCTAATAATGTTTATATTGAAACACACAGAACTATTGTTGAATAATTTACCAAAATGCGTGTCGATCTTAACGAAAAACAAAACATAAGATCTTCACTTATGGCTATTCATTGCAAAAAAAGGAAAACATACTATAGCCTTAACATAAAAGGCAATAGTGTTTTGATCAGTCTTAAGCTTTGTACAACATTGCCCGAAATGAAAAGTAAATCCATATATCTCATCACTGTACAAACGTATTCAAAATTGAAAACAACAAACTAAACAATACCTTAAAGTAACATTCATGATATTATAAGCATATTCTCAAATATTTTATAATAATAATTTCAAATTTAAGTATCTGTGTTATAACATACAAAATGATTCCAAGAATGTGATCTCAACAATATAGTAAGTATATCCTAATGATTTCTAACTGTCAGTATCTGTATTACTTAATATATCATTTCTCTCTTTGAATGCATAATATGCATACATAGCTAAATTTGTTATAACATTATCAGAGCGAGAGCACATTAGAACATTAAATTTATGATTATTAGGATTATTAAAGAATTTTTTGTCAATATATTTTTCTCTAATCAAAGACAATTTTTTACAAACTAAAACAAAATGATATTCATTTCCAATTGCTTCGTGACATAATTTACATATCCTTTGTTCTCTTAAAATATTCTGGTATCTACCTTTTTCAATTTCTAAATCATGGGAGGACAATCGAAGTTTGGCAAGAGCATTTCTGAATTTTCTAATTGTCACTACTGTTAAGTAATATTCATGTTCGATATTGCATTTAAACTGTCTATACGCATACAATTTAGAACTATCATTTATAATTGTTTGCCATTCTTGTAGATATTGGTCCTTTAATTTTTGTACAAAAGAATTTATGAAATAGTCTTCATTATTGACTGTTTGATTATACCAAATGTAGCCAAAACCATTTTTACATAATAGATTACGAATACCAGTACACCAATTAGTTTGCCCCGTACTATCCAAAAACAACTGCATAAAATAGCATTTTTTAACTAATCTGTGTTCACCCAATTTAAGTATTTTACACCAATATCTTACAGCTCTTTTAGCAGAATTTATAAACATAGGAAATCTCCCACAGTCACCTAGGACACCTGCATTAATTGTTTTTTCTTTCACACATAAATATCTTTTACATGCATAGTTATGCACTAACTCTGGCTGTACTAACTTGTGTATACCCCATATTTCTGATCCATAAAGTAAAATAGGACTAATTTTTGTGTCAAGAATATAAAAAAATACTTTTGGGGGTAACTGTCCATAGTCATATAATTGCGTAAGTATAGAAATAAGTACTCTTTTTGCTTTAGACGCTTGTTCACTAGCCATTCTGTTTAAGGACAACTGTTGTGTTAATGTTACACCTACATAACTAAAATTGCTTACAACTTCAAGAATTTGATTATCATAAAACCATTTCTCCCCTTTCGCTAATTTCCCACCTATCTTAAAAATCATTACTTTTGATTTTACAGGATTAACTGCAATACACTGTATTATTAATCACAATGATTTATGAAATTATGAATACCCAAGACTTATGTGTAAAAGGGTTGGTCTGTATGAACAAATTCTTTACAATTATAAGTTTACAAGTATAAGTTTGCTTATTTCATTTTTAGCTCGACTATTCGATAAGAATAAGTAGAGCTATTGCAGTCACCCGAGCGTCGGCGTCTATGTCGGCGTAACCACTAAGTTTTAAATTTGTAATAGTTCAAATATTTTCAAAGTCCATTGACATATGGCTTTGAAACTTTGCACACTTGTTCACCATCATGACCCCAACCTGTAGACAGGAGGAGGTAACTCTATCAAGCATTTTGACAGAATTATGCCCCTTTTTCGACTTAGAATTTATGTTAAAGTTTTTGTAATACCTTATATATTTTCCAAGTCCATTGACATATGGCTTTGAAACTTTGCACACTTGTTCACCATCATGACCCCAACTTGTAGACAGGAGGAGGTAACTGTATCAAGCATTTTGACAGAATTATGCCCCTTTTTCGACTTAGAATTTATGTTAAAGTTTTTGTAATACCTCAAAAAATTTCAAAGACATATGGCTTTGAAACTTTGCACACATGTTCACCATCATGACCCCAACTTGTAGACAGGAGGAGGTAACTCTATCAAGCATTTTGACAGAATTATGCCCCTTTTTCGACTTAGAATTTATGTTAAAGTTTATGTAATACCTTAAATATTTTCCAAGTCCATTGACATATGGCTTTGAAACTTTGCACACTTGTTCACCATCATGACCCCAACTTGTAGACAGGAGGAGGTAACTCTATCAAGAATTTTGACAGAATTATGCCCCTTTTTCGACTTAGAATTTATTTTAAAGTTTTTGTAATACCTCAAATATTTTCAAAGTTCATTGACATATGGCTTTGAAACTTTGCACACTTGTTCAACATCATTACCCCAACCTGTAAACAGGAGGAGGTAACTGTATCAAGCATTTTTTTTTTACTATCAAGCACTAAGAATAGTGGAGCGTTGCTGTCCTACCGACAGCTCTTGTTACTCATCTGTTTTGAAGAAAAAGTCCTGCTTTTATTATTGCTTTGCCTCTGTCATCATTGTCATGAAGCATAAAAAATAATGTAGCCCATATTATTTAAACAATTTAAAACTATAAGCATGACACTTGAAAATTACTTGCTTATCGTGACAAGGTGCAGTTGTTAGACAAAGGGTATAATTCTGAAAGTTATGCCCCTTCTTTAACTTGGAATTTTGAACAGATGAGCATTATCATAGCATGCGGTTCTGTTGATAGTACCTAAGCTTTGGACTGCATGTACTTTTGTCATATACCCTTTGGCAATGTTATAACAAGTATTCCAATGTTTTGTAGCAGTATATTGCAAGTAATTGACAACTTCTTCACATAAGTGACACTGGAAACACTGATAAATGGCATTAAACAATTTAACAGTCTGTAATCTACTTGGATATCTGTCAATGCAACTGTCTTTTGTCAATATCCTGCTATATCCCCACCTCAGTGACAGGAACCATTTTTACTAGTGCCTGTTTTGTCCTACCCTAGGACTCAAACTGGTTTACATACTAAGCTTATGATGTAGACTTTAACTGATTTCTTCTATAGATGTAAAACTAAAAAGCATGTATTTCCTTTGCCTTTTGATTTCAGGGTTGTTGTGTTATCAATGTCTTATTTCTACTTTAATGTTATTTTTTGAAGGTTTAATAAAATAACATGATTGAATTTTTTTTTCTGTTTCATCTTTTTTTTCATTTTCAGAACGTTGGGTTATGCTGATTAATCAGGCTCATCCAAAGGTCCACAGTAGGATAAAGATTGGTATTGAAACTGCAAAGGCAAAAATGAACAGAGGAGAGCCGTTTACTTTAGAGGTAACTTTTACACCTTTTAAATCTTCATTTTAGACAAATAATTTGATAAATCCTGTGCTCATAGTATATGCCACAAAGAAGTAACTTTCACCATTAATACCCATCAAATTACAACTGCTTTGAAAGTTTTTTTTATCAAATCAAGTGCATTTTAGAAAAATGAGTAAGAAATTGTGTTCTGAATTAATGATGTCCCATACTTTGAATCTAAAAGATTTTGGTATACGTTTTTCAATTGGATGCACTTGATTTAAGGCTTATTTCTAATGGATGGTTACTTAGATGGTATATGGGTAAATCAATTTATATAACCTGTATAAAATAAACATTTCTTAAGGATGTTGTATCAATTTAATGAATAACCTAGAGGTATTTGATAATAAGCAACAGTTTGACAGTTTGATAAGTGTATGACAAGTGTTATAGCTAGTTAATTAAATGTGACCTCAGAAAACTTGTCCTAGGTGACCTTATACATTGTCAAGGTAACAAGTATTTCACATTTTTCATCACAAAGTTGACCGCCAGTTAGTATGATTTTTTTTTTTATCTAATCCCGCCTTTAAGACTTGTATTGTTAATATATGTGTTTTTATAAAGCTTCACAGTATATGAAAGGTATAAAGCTATATCTAACGAAACTTTTTTTTAAAATTTAAAAACAGTAAAAAAATATTGTTTCCATAATCTTATGGTTTATTCTCTAATGAGTTGTTTTTCTGACCATACTGTATGTTAACGGTTGCCTCTGCAGTTTAATAATGAAATCTCTTTAAATAACTTTGGACACTTCCCAAATTCAAACCAGGCCACATCACAAAAATTGTACAAATGCAGGGAGATTTTTACTTTTTTTATCAAAAAGATGCAGCTTCATGAAAGCAGGCTAATTTTTCATTTACTGTAGGCATCAATTGAACAAAATACTTTAATTTCAGTATGAAATAAAGAAGGACTTACAACAGTTTTGCTGTCACATTCGATATGTAAAACAGTAGATTTAATCATTGAATCTGTGCTATTATAATAATGTATGCCCCAAAAGCTATGGAAAATTATCTGATATATTTATGACATCAAAAGTTTATATTCATCAGTTTATAGAAAAAAATATTTAGATGTCCAAAAACAAATACAAAAAATGTGAAGATTTGTAGGTAATGTGAATATAATATGTAAGCATGTTTTGCCAGTGGTATTGTAAAACAATACCCATTTTGTCATGTAACAAATTACATTTCTATTTGTAAATAACTTTAAGTTGTTTTGAATGTTTATGCTAATTAAAGTTAAAAATAGACCATGCCCAATATTACTCATTACTCATTTTTGATGAATTGTTTAGATATGTTTTATATATAATTAAGTTACAAGTTTAACAAAATGACGTTTGGTTTGACAGATTGAGGTTAATTATGTGACCTTTGAAAAAATCTTATCGGAAAGTCACATGTTTTTTTCCTCAGATAATTTAATGTTTAAGTTTAAGTTTTTTAATTTTTTATATATTTACACACCCACAGAATAATTGATTATGATGTGTCACCTGAAAATTCACTAATTTAATTAAATTCCTGATGACCTTGATCTTATGTGAGCATGACTGTGTTTACTTAGAATACTTAAAAGTTTTCATATGTTTTATTTTTGTCCTTTTTATTTTAATATCATAAAAAATGTTAAAAGCAATTTAACTGGAGGTCAATATTATAGATGTGCTTCAAGTTATGGCACATGTTATCAACAAAAAAAACAACAAAAAAACCCCAAAAAGCAACAACATAGGTATTCCACCCACAGTCATGTTATTTACTGGGAGATAATCTTTGTTTTCCATGATTTGTCATAAAGTAAATGGTGGTCATACAGGTAGACATACCCTAATCCCTTCACAGCCCTTTCATTTACAAGTGGGCACTTGGATCATTTATGACACTTGACACAATATGAGCCGCGTCATGACAAAACCAACATAATTGGTTTGCGACCAGCATGGATCCAGACCAGCCTGCGCATCCGTGCAGTCTGATCAGGATCCATGCTGTTCGCTTACAAACCCTATAAGAAGTAGAGAAACTGATAGCGAACAGCATGGATCCTGATCAGACTGCGCGGATGCGCAGGCTGGTCTGGATCCATGCTGGTCGCAAACGCACTATGTTGGTTTTGTCATGACGCGACTCATATATTCCTCACATGGAACTCAGGATTCAAAGTCTGAAGTGGAAAAAGCCAAACTTTATAAACAAGTTGGCTGTCCCAAAATTGAAACAATCGACTCTCTAAACCCTATGTACAGGTACAATGTAATTCAGTAATAACATAAACAATTATCTGTGTTTTATATTTTGTAGATATCATTTAATGCCTACTTAAAGAGGATATATCTGGATAAACTGACCAAGGCTGTACTAGATAAAAGATTTACCTCTATAGATTTTGAAGATGCTGAAATTGTGATTCGTTACCCTGGTGACAGAGCTCATAGGGGCATACAGTGGGAACTTCAGGTAACAGTCCCATCTTTTCTACTTGAACTTGTGGTCTGTACATGAACTATATTTTGGGTAAAAGCTGATAAAAAGGTCATAGTTTAAGTGACCTTGAAGACATAAGAAATGGTTTCAACATGCTTTGAGTTTATAGATCTATAGTAAATGGGTTTAAATGTAATTTTGTTGTAAGGTAAGAAGTTTTGATTTTGTGGTCTAATCCATTTAAGGTGAGCAGTGATCTTTTTGGTTACGTGACTGCCTTTGCCTTTTGGCCCAGAGGTCATAGGTTTGAACCTATCTCTGGTCACAACTATGTTTCCTTATATGACACCAGAACTGGTTACTTCAACTTTCATTGCAATCAAACTAGAATATATATGTTTTAATTAAATACTAAATTTTATGGCTGGAAGTAAATTAATCATTCTGTGCTAAATTGTTCAATTTGTGATAAAAAAATCTGTCATGTGATTTTAGAATAACAGCATGCAATTTTCTTATAAAATGATACATGTTAAATGAATGAGAATTGAATATAGCTTTCCTCTAGATTTTCTTTATGTTTGATGACTACACTTTGAATTGAGCATGCATACAATCATTATTATTTTGTTTTTTTCCCTATATTTTCAGGCTTCAAATCAAATACGTTTTGAGTTTGAAGATTTACTTCCCAGTGACATAGAAAGACGTACAGTAATGAATGCGCAGACAGAGTGCAGTAGTCCCGCCTTACAGGTTATCATGCCAGGTATAGTAATTAGTCATCACGTTTAATGTTAATTTATGTGTATTCTTTATCCTGAAGATTATTGTTTAATATGTAGACAGGTCAGCTTATATTCTGGTACAATCAAACTACCTGATTTGCCGGTGGTTCTACTTAGGTGCTTGTACTCTGGTGTTCATTTGTGCCTGAAGTAATTCACGGATGGGCGTCTGTGGTCTTCCTCCACCAGTAAAGCTGGAAAATCATCATCATGAACTGTGCTGGTGTGATGTAAAAACAAACCAAAAACAAAAACAAACTAGCTGATATGCTGATTGCTGATTTATTACTTTTTTTTGGACTGAAAAAAATCTTGAATGTTTTTGAATATAATGAAAGGCAAGAACTTGACATAGATTTAGAGGTATATTGGTAGATGCTTTCAGAACCATTCTTTGTGAAACCCAAGTCCTTGAAGTCCTTGAAAGAACTAAATTGATCTTTTTTTAACAGGAAACTTCTATCAGACTGACTTCTTGTTTTAAGTAAATGATTTGAATACTGATGGTTTTGAAAATATACATGCATCATTCAAATGTCAGGTAAATGATGTCTCAGAAAAGTTTCTAAGGTTGATAAAGTCATATAAAAAGATTCAGCAAAAATCCTGTAACTTGATAATCTAAATTTCAGATTAATTCATTAATGAAGTAAAACATGTTTTCTTGTTTATTGTAGTATATTAGTAAAATTTGCGTGCTCTTTAAAACATTAAGTCTTATATGTTTCTGGATCATATGAATAAGGCGTGGCTTTATGATTTACAGATGAGTTGTTAGAATTACTGCCTGGCTGGGATTTTGAAATGATTGATCCTATGTCTGGAGTTGTGTCATCAGATGATGAGGAAGACCAGCAGGAATCTGGGGCTGTTGGAGGTTTTGAACCTCCTCCTCCCTATGAAAGTCAACCGTTCCTTCCTCAACCGGCTGATGGTAAAGTAGTCGGAAGGGCACGGAGAAAGGCAAATCAGGCTGCTGAAAAAGTTGTTGTTCCAGTTGAAATGCATGCACCGGTACATAATAGACAACAAACATTATACCCTCCTAATGCTCCCACAAGTTCAAAGTCTCCGTCTTCAAGTAATGATTATGAAAGACTGAACAGGCAGACTGGTCCACCAGAGAATCCCTACGCAAAAAAAATGGTTCAAAATTCTGATATACCTAGATCACCTGGTATAGCTCATCGTTTGGAGTCCCCTTACGAGACGATGAATTCTGGTGGGAAGTATGGTCAAAATCTTTCACCATATGGACCATCATCCCCAAGTTCTCCTGGAAGCCCAAGATCACATGGGGCTTCACCATCGCCTCATTCACCCAGGTCCCCAAAGTCATATGGATCACCACCATCACCCCTTTCACCAAGGACTCCTCGCACTCCAGTCACCCCGCAATCACATGTTGCACCAAGGACTCCCACCTCGGTACATGCACAGATGCAAGATCATTCAGTGCCACGCAGTCCAGTGACACCTAGGTCTGCACCTAGAAACGACAGATACAACACGGAATATGTAAGCACACGCCCTTCACAACAGACATACTTGACAGATGACGATGATGGTGGATTTTCGCAACACGGCCCAAAATCGCCCCAGGTAAACTCTAGAACGGATATGTATAATGACAGTCAATACAATAGTCGAAATTATGACCCTAGAGACAGATATGCAAATCAACCTTCGCATCATCTGGGCCGGGGCCCAACTGACAGAACTGACGATGTTTATAGGGATGGGAAAAGTCCTTCATGGCAAGGGCAACCTCAAAATTCAGAACGGTCAGGGCCTATTCCTGCACCGCGTGGATTTCACAGGCATCAAGGAAGCGGAAGGTCGGACACTTCTGCTTCGGACAGTGGATTCGGTGAGAATGAAAATGGTGTTGATTCTTCCAATCATAGAACTGATAGAAATGGTGGGTATAATAACAATATGCACGTTTCTTCAAAGACTCCATATTACAATCGTGCTTTTGAAAAAGAATCGCCAGAAAAGGATCACAATATTGTTGACGATATAATGGCTAAGCATAAAGCATTGGCCGCTAACCTTATGAAGCAGCAAGGTCAAGGGCAAGGTGTTCGACATTCTGGTCATAGACAAGATTATTATAATGATTCAAACTATAACAAAGAATTACAAAAAGTGAGGCTAAATATTAATGACCTTGAACAATCTTGTGCTGAACCTGAGGTGGAATTTTCAAGGTCAAGGTTGCGTGTTAATTCACAAGAAGAGCCAATGGCAGAAAGCTTTATATAAGTGTTCAATATGAAAAAAAAGATACATTTTCGCAAAAGGATGCATTTGTTTTAGAAATATTTCATTGTATAAGGTAGACACTTAATGATAAAATAATTTGTGCTAAACTTATGAAATGAAATAGAAGGTTGTAAAAAAAAAACTGCTGGAAAAATTACCAAGTTTTATTGGTATAATTATGTCAAGTAAATAAACCTGTAAACTTCATCTTGCACAAGGAGTTGATGTGCAATATTGAAAATAAAAAAAACACATTTGGAAATATTAACTTCATATAAGCCGAAAAATTCATTAGAAATAGTCACCAGTGAAATGTTTTTTAGTAATCCTTGGTGGTATTATGTTAGATAATTGTCTCAAAATAGTCAAATTTAATCTATTGATTATGGAAGTATGTTAACAATAAGTTATAATGTAAAACTTTCTATTTTAACTTGTAGTCTTTCAGAGTAAATATTTTGGTGTCTTTGAATAATTTGAAAGATTTAGATAATGAGGGATATTTTATTATGTTTAGAAATATAAATGAAGGGAAACACTCATGCAAGATTGAATATAAAAGGTTGTAATATTTTCAAAGATATAAAATTGGGATAACAATCAGAATCATCAGACGATTTTATTTGCCATATTTTACTGTAAAATAAAATAAAAGGAACTAAGTAAGGCTATACAATAAATGCAGATAAATTTTAACTATAATACTTTCATCTGATGTTGGGATGTTTTTGTCTTTCAGCAAGCATTCACTATATATTTTGTTATGTTTAGTTTGTTTACTTTACTGATTTATTAAAAAAAAATGAATATTAATTTTGTTCAAGGGGGAGAACTGTAGTAATTTTCCTGTCCATCAAAATTTTAAATTGTCTCCCTTATGTGAAATTCATCTACCGAAGTAAAATTTTTCTTACACTTTTTTTTTAAGTTTGATATTGTGTATATATTTTATTTTAACTTTGTATATTTGTATCATAGTGCTAACTTTTTGAAATTTACTTTTAACTGTATTTTATGTGTTCCATCAGTTTTTCAACATTCCAAAATTAATGTTAAAGTGGCATTATGCTCATTTTTTTTCACTGTCATGTTGAGTTGAATTAATATTAAGTTTCAAAAGATTGACTATTAAAATGTTAATTGACCAATAATTGATTATAAAATTGCTTAGAATAAAATATAAAAATTACATAAACTATAAAAAGACTACCCCAAACTTTTTAAAAATTTATAGTTACAGATACATTCCGAACAATATTTATAGAACAGCCTTTGGTCATGTGAAATATTGATTACTTTTGCAGAGTAACATATAAAATTGAACACAAATATGGCAAAATTTTAAGATTTTTTTTCTTTTACGCTTTGAACTCACCTGATTTACACTTGGATTGGCACAATGTCACTTTAACTACTAGGAAATCATTAAGTCTGTAGTTCCAGGTGTATTTACCTTTTATTTGCAATAACATCTCTTTTCTGCATTCACTTAAGTATGTTGGTTATGTAAATATTTATTTGTCTTTGTTTATGCTAACTGAACAACATACGTTTTTTTAATTTTTCTAACATTGCTTTCAGATATTTTCATATGTAACCTTGTTATAGTGCAATGTATTTGCCATGGATTAAAATTTGCGGTATTTCAATATGAAAATTTCAATACAAAACATTGAGCTACCAGCAGTATAGACCTTGGTAAGACTATACAGACAGATGTTCAGGCTGGCCTGGCTCTATACTGGTGACAAAGGCTGATCACTTTCAGTCCCCACAGGCTATGGGTTAAATTTAGCAGCTTTAATAATTTAGCAGTCTTCATCCTTGTACAATAACGTTATCTCTCATATTAAGGTTGATGGATGCTAAAAATGTGCTATGTAAGTTAAATTTACTTTTCTGACAAGGTACTTTTTGAAAGATTAGTCAGTTGTTAGTAATATAATGTTAGTAAAGAAGTGCAGGAATATAACAATTGTTTGAAATGCTTACAAACTCTATGACCACTATAGAAACCGATAGCGAACAGTATGGATCCTGATCAGACTGCGCGGATGCGCAGGCTGGTCTAGATCCATGCTGGTCGCAAACGCACTATGTTGGTTTTTTCGTGACACGGCTCATTTTATTCTTTGTACAGTGTATGCCTTCTTAGCCAGTTACTATTATTTATACAGGTTAAGGGTTAAGATTCTAATAATTATTTTTGTCTGTCCTTCTTTTATGATGTGCCATATGCTTTTATTATAAATGAATAATTTTCTCTTATATTTATTTTTAATCTATTTTGCCTTATAGGGAAATAGGTTTTTAATAAATTCTTGGTGCAGTACTGATTCAAATAATCACCCCAAAATTCTAGTTAGATTTATGCAGCTAAAGAGAGGGGTAGGGGTCTGGCAGTTTTTTTTATATTATTTTGTGATTTATCTTTTTTTTTCAGAAAAAGTAACAATACATTCATTTGGCATATAAGTATTAGTTAGCAAGTGTTTTAATCATTTTTTCCTATTTTTAAGTAAAAAAAAATATTTTTTTCTTGACCTTATTAAGACTTGACTGAATTAAAACTATTTGTCTCTGACTTCATGAAAGTGTTAATGAAGAAGTGTGCTTATGCAAATTTACAATATTTCTTTATGCACTTCTCTTTACAACAATTTTATTTTTCTATTCATGTTGAAATAAAAACAAACAAAAAATATAAATCATTGTAGCTCTAAATGTAGTATAATCAAATGCTGTTGAAACAGAGGCAGAATAAATGAAAATGCAGAATAAATGAAAATGTCTTAAGTTTGTACACATTAATGTATAAAAGATTAGTTCTAGTAATGTGCAGTGGAATGGTGTTTATTTTAGTATTGCTGCAATATATAATACATAAGGTGAGGATCCAGTACAGTACTATTGTAACAATACATGTGAGTCTGCTCGGTTTGCTCAATAGGGAGAGCATTGGATTTGTAAACCATGAGTAACTGGTTTGATAACTACCTAACCCACTCACTCAAGTTTTAGGACTGACCATTGCCAATTTTTTTGGGTTGACCATTGCCAATTTTTTTGGGTTGACCATTGCCAATTTTTTGGGTTGACCATTGTCAATTTTTGGGGATATAAGGATGAAAAATCCAAAAGCTATAGTCAGCCAATAGTATAGAACAGGTACAGACAGCATGGTTGTACAGGCTGTCCTGACTCCTGGCTTTATATTGATGGCAAAGGTTAAATAACTTTTATGTTCCAGCTGTTTGTTTTGTCTTTTTTTGTCTGTTTTTTTTTATAACAGTTTAAATAATAATAATAATAATGATTATTCTGATGTTGAAATTCCTCTTATTCACAATAATTTATTTAAAGTTCCAAATTAAAAAAAAATCGGGTGTAACTCTGGGGTTGGAGTTACAAGAACAATTTACAATAGTGTTGTACTGAGACCCTTAGTGTATATTGTCTGTTTAAATCAATGACTGTATGTAGTACTAGTAATGTAAAACATTTATTAATATAGATATTATTTTAGTCAGCATTAAAACAGTCAAACCTGTCCTAAAAGTTAGGTAAAAAAGAATGAAATTTTTGAACTTTCTTTACATGTACACATATATTGATAAATGAAATATTCTTTTTTTTGTCACCAATTTTCTTTTCACTGGTTTTTTTTTTATACATGTCCGCATGGAGTCAGTTTCATGTCACTTTTGTAAATTTTCCCATCTGTGAAAATTTTCCCTATGTTAAAAGTTTAATGTTTTACTGATATTAATTATAAGGATTAGTAGTGTAAAGGGACCATTTTCAATTTTGCTATGATGAACTTTAGTGGTAGTTTGGACTGATTTTTGAGTTCATGTTTTTATCTATCTGTTATAATCTATAGGACTGTAAGATTTGAATATTTAATATATTAGAGAAAAGTTTAACATAGTAATAACAGAAGAGCATGGAAGGTCTGTCTTCCATGTGAACATTTATTAAAGCAGGGCGCTTCAAGATTCAAGCTAATTTTGATGAACGTTTAAAAAAAGTCCTAATTGATATAAATAATATCTCTTTGAAAACTAGTGTACTTATCTAAAGGTGTTAAACAATTTATTAAGAATTGAGATGAGCTGTATTTTCAACATTGGCACTTTCTTAAAGGTACATTAATGAAGATAATATACATACTCAAGTTTTATATTTTCAATTTTAGAAGTTAAAGACACAAATTTAAATGTTCTGTTTTCAATATTTTAACTTCCAAAATTGTCTTTGTATATTTTTTAATGCCTTGTAAATATTGTATATATGTATGTACTATTTTAAAAAACTGTGATTATGTATTTTTTTTATTATAAAATTCATTATATACATTTCTTATATATATATATACATTTAACAATGGTTATGAATACATATCATTATATTGTAGAATAGTAAATATATATATTTTTGTAAACTTTTTGGTTTTTGTTACAATATTTGAAGTAATTCTGAAGTTGTCATTATAAAAATCAGATTAAAACACTACTTTTGGTGATATTTTAACTACAAAATATGTAAGTAGATCTACATTTTGTAATTAAGTTATTTGGTACAGTTTATTGAAATTTATTAATCATTTACATAACTGGCATAGAATTTTTCAGACTTGAGCAGTCTTTGGTAACTGTGTAATATTGTTATTTTGGTTAACTGTGAATCAAATTTCCAATTGTTACCCTTCACAAACAAATCTAATGCATATAAAAATATACCTTTAGTTCACAATAAAATAAATTCAATCACATTCCCTTTTAAATACATTACAATGAAAAGCAACAAAATATATGATATGATATGAAAATGAAGTTGTAGTTATGAAACCCTATTGTCTGTGATTTTTCCTAATGATTTAATTGAAGTTGATCACTCTCATCCCTCTGAAACTAAATGAGCCGCGTCACGACAAAACCAACATAATGGGTTTGCGACCAGCATGAATCCAGACCAGCCTTTGCATCTGAGGAGTCTGATCAGGATCTATGCTGTTCGCTATCAGTTTCTCTATTTGTAAAAGGGTTAGTAAGCGAACAGCATGGATCCTGATCAGACTGCGCGGATGCGCAGGCTGGTCTGGATCCATGCTGGTCGCAAATGCATTATGTTGGTTTTGTTGTGATGCGGCTCAAATACATCACTGTTGGCTGACTAACCTAAAATTTAAATCTTGTCATTTCTAAAATTGACATTAGACAGTTTCATAAAATTGAATGCTTAAAATATTAAAGAAATTAAATAGCTTAATTTTAATAGGTTGCTTTTATTTGTTTCCATAGAATACTTACATTGGAACTAATTATTCTAGATATCTAACTATAACATAACTCTACATGTACTTTTCACAAAGACAAGCTTAACTAAAGAAAACTCATTTAATGTTGGTTTGAAATTTTCACAGACATCATATTATTGGATAATTATCATGTCATTAATGAAAAAAGGAAACTTAAATAAATCAGTGATATAATATAAAATATGTTGTTGTTTTCTTATTACCCTAGTATATAAACCTCTTATGACCTTAGACGCTTAGTACATAAATACATGAAACGTGGCTACGTGAGAAACTTAGTAAAATGTATCTGTTCTTTCTATGTTGTATAAGAGCGTATTATCTCATTTTACCAACATTTTATATAATCACATGTAGCAGTATCAGTGTTTGGACACCCCACCACACCCTACCCCTTGACTCCTGCTACCACCCTGAAACAAAATTACACTACTAAGGCTTACTATAAGATACTAAATACAAAATCATCGATAAAATTATAGAAAAAAAATCCACTATCAAAATTATAGTTATAGAAAGGTGGAAAGCCTATTATATGTTCATTTGCCAAACAATGTGGACTAGAATTAGGTAAGCTGTGGAATTCTAGTTCTATTTATTTATGTTAATGAATGATGCTGCGAAATGCCACCGGAATGCGCCTCAGTCGCCGAAACGACGATTTCCCGTGTTTTACATTGTGGTTTTGCATTTAGTATCTTATAGTAAGCTTTAGTAGTGAATTTTTTTTTTCAGGGAGTTAGCAGGGATCCAGGGACAGGGTGTGGTGGGGTATCCAAATACTGATACTGCCACCTGCAAACATAATCAAAATATGTAATCAGTTGGCTTAACACATCTATCTGCAATCCACCACTTGTCCAAAGGCCTTGCCGGTTTTCTAAACATGTCTAAATTGTTTAACTTGTAGCAAAGGTTACAATAGGCAAGTTGTATGTGCTCCTGTTCCTGAATAACCATGTATTTATCTTTTGTCTGTAAATATTTGATATATTTCTTTTCATTTGCACCTAACTGTATTAAAAAATTGGCAAGGTCTTCTTTTGTCTTAAAGTCGTCTGCGTCGATATATGTATTGTCTGGCAAATAGCGTTTATAGAAACGCGCACCGCGGACAACCACGATAATATCCTCAGTGATCCAACTGAAAACTTTTTCCGTTATATAATCCTCACAAATAGAATTTTCAAATGCAAGAAAGAATTTGTATGATTTTACGACATTGTCTTTACAACCCTGATCTCCTTTTTGGCAATCATGTTTTGTGTTGCCACATGCTCCAAATATGTCAATATCTATATAAGTCTTTAACCTTGACACATACAATTCCCGTTTACTAGATGTCCTGCAATGACTCGCGAACCAAACACACGACTTCTTCTTGTTTCTAAATATAGAGGAATAGTTCTTTTTATCAATATCGCTGCGTAAGTCTGCATTTAAGACCTTTTCTCGAAAATTGACGGTCTTTTCGGCATTTGCTAAATAATATGTTTTATTATACATTCGTGGAATCACTGAACCATAGAGGTAAGGAATGTCAGAATCTCGGCGATACGTCATTGTCCAGTTAAAGAATTCTCTATAAAATGGGTTCTCTGTTTTAACATGATGCAAATATTGTGGCGATTCTATGTTCAGATATACAAACGCTTGGTTTGAGTTGAGTCTTGCGGGATAGTTCAAAGGAATGTTATTTCCTTGGAATACCACCGCGTCTGCGTCAATGGGGTCACGTGTAAGATCACCGTGGTGTATAATTTCACAGTTCTGATGATGATAACATTTCTGCATGTCTACAAGTTTAGCTGCCCATTTCAATCCGGTATGGTAAATGTGATATAGAATTATTCTCTTAATACCTTTACCATTCATTGTCTTGAGTTCAATATCACCAGTGACATTTCCGGCTGACCTTTCGTTTTGACTTGCTGTTTTTACATTTACATAATTTAAAATATCTTTAGAAACACTAATCGAATAGTTATCACCGTCATTGGCAAGAGTATCCAAAATGTGTCCCTCTTTTAAAAAATTCCTATGGTCTGTCATTAGAGTATTGTTATCACCAACATCAGAATTTGTAAATGAAGCAATGGCGAACATGAGGTCTTTTGAAGCGCTTCTTGTACTCTGATTATGTACGATGTGGTCAGAACGCATGAAATTGATCGCGAACAGGCGTCTGGTGTCTCTGAATATGAACGCTAATATGACCAGCATCATCATGGAAAACGCTGCAAACGTCTTGCATCTTTTTATAATCATTCCAAATATCAATCTCCTACCTAGCCATTAATGCCTATGTCTAATTAGAGATAATAGAATTTCGTAATTTCCGGTAAGATCCTTTATTGTTTACTCACACGAAACTAGAACGCATGTTTTGTATGTATTTACTTCAATATAATCCATTTTTTCTTGGGTGTTACGTTTTTACCTCCTCTGCATTCTGTAATAAAGTATAAAAAATATGATACCTTAATCAAATAATGATCTCAGAAATAATTAAAGTAAGATAATCCCGAAAACGTCTTACCTAAATTTGATACTTAAAAAGTTCCCTTCTTTTCTGCTAAAAATATTATGAAAATCAAATACATTGTATATCACTTTTAAACATATCGGTTTGTGAAGTGCATTTCATTAGACCTTCAACAAATGAGTATAAATTTATAACTGTCTTTGCTTTAGTTATGGTATATTGTAGTAATTAGAAAAAATGCCTATGGCATTTAACAATATTTCATTAAATGTGGACAAAATAATTTAAAGTCATTGTCTTTGGTACAGGTAAATGTGATTAGAACATTTTTTTCAATTTTCATAATTTAGTCTCCGAACGACATAGAATATAATAACTTGAAAATGGTATCCGCATGTAATAAAATATAAAATGTTCATACACAATTATTCAAAATTATACCGCAGTATTTTGATTTATATCACTGATCTTTTTCCTAATTTGTAATCTTTTGAAGTACATTTCGATTTTTAAAAATGGTAAGTGGCCATTAAGGAAAATGCATGCTGTATTCTACACTTAAGACCGATCTTAAAAATGGAAAACATTTTCTTGATAATATTTGACCTGCTGGCTTAAATTTGTAAATGGTTTAAAACAAACCGAGTATGCTATATTGATACATTAAAAAGTGGTTTTCTAATAATCTTTTCTGAGACAATGATTCCAACACGTTTAGTAAAAAAAACAACTGGATACTGCTTAGTCGGTGCCAGGTTGGCATAATAGAGGATGCATCTATCTCTATATTTTACAAACTGACCCATTTAAATTGAATCTCCAATTTTCGCCTTTTTTTACTTTGGTTATGGTGCTCTCGAAGGATTTCTCCTATTGGTTTTAAAAGAAGGACTTCAATTTGTATCTACATCCTTGTTGAAAGCTTTTTGTGTGCAAATAAATGTTGATCAAGGTACGGAAACTAAGTAAACAAATACAGTTTAAAGATGAATCAAGCTTGATCTTCCAAGGTTCCATGCAATTTTTAACATGCAAGAAATACTTAATTAAGTAGATCTGAACTTTAGTTAGATAGAATGTTAACATCAAATGATAGTTCACGATTGTTCTGAATAATATAATTGACAAAATATGACAAAATCAATTCAAACAGCCGATTTAGGTTGATAATCAAATGCTTTTATACATTTTTACCAGGGGAGGTAATAGTTGTTTTGTGAAAAACATTACATATCTCATATTGAACAGTTTCAGGGCAATTTCTTATTTATCTTTCGATCAGCTTGTACTTAAAGACAGAATATATTATAGTTTTGTGTTTTTGAAATGTTATTTAATGGCGTAGAAATAAACTTTTCTTACCTAGTATTTACGTTTGGTCGACTGATTTTTATTTGTTTGGGTCGTCAGACCAAACAAATAATGGTAGCGAAATTTCAGACCCTGATGTGCTTATTTGCAAATACCGAAAGTAGTCCAAACTCCTCGAAGCTGTTACTTCCCTTTATAAGTACACTAACGCTGAAAATTTAAGGGGAAATCACTGCGTAAAGATTGTCAAATGACAGGCGCATTAATTTTCAAGCCTTCTCGGGGAAGAAAAAATAGTTCCCGATTGGTCAAAGATTTCTAATAGTGTGTTATTCTTTACAGATAAACATGTTCATATTAAGTTCCATGATTATTTACATCGGTGTTAAACAACAGGTCTACCGTGAAATTAATAAGGGTTACAAACCCTTATTAGTAATAATGTGGTTTTCTTCAGGTTGTTATCTTAAAACTTCATCGTGGTCGAGGGGTTACACGCTCGGATAGGAAGCGAGAGGTCTGGAGTTCAAATCCCAGTTAAGGCAATTTTTTTTTCTTTAAATTGTTTAAGCCAAATATACATTTAATTGAATATCAGTGTCGCAATTAGCCTTATAGCCAATTTACTACAGTTATAAAAAAACAAATTGGTTTATAATCTCACAACCGCCACCTTTCTGACATTCTGGGACCCAAACAAATTCAGCGCCTTTTGTGCTTTGATTTAAAGTCGCTGCTCATCTATTCATAACTACATCAACTTATCGTCTGTTGTATCTTTTCTCTCATGTTAACACATTCAGATAAACGTATAAACGGGTCATTGGGTATTTAATATAATAATCACGTTTGAAACAGTACATGATCGTGGATACCTTTACATTAAAATGACCTCTTCACTATAAACGACGTACTTTACATGTTCTTAATAAAGAGGTAGGCCTAATGCATAGTTATTTATAATTAATTAAGTGTACGATTAAAAGCATGGATTTGCATACATGATTTAAAATTTCATTTGCTCCTAAGGTATTTCCGCTGCGGATTTTACGTGTTCTAAAATGGGTAAGTATAATTCCATTTTGAATAACTTTTTTATTATACTGTTTAACACTGATTCGATGATATGGAGACTAGAAATGAAAAGTCCAAAGTATCGAATATGTTTACGAAGAGGACCTATATTTGCTTCCGTACTTCATGTACTTAAAGGAACGCGACACTAATGTTACGGCCCAACGAGTTCAAAACTAAATTTGCATTTGTCACGAAAAAAAATCTTCTCGCTGCATTCTAACTGTTCACTTTGCTAAACTATTAATTCATGTTGTTAGTACGCGTTACGAACGATATATATATCCGGACATAACTATATGATTGTTTGAATGGATAGAATTCGCTTTCTAAAATGTGCATGTAATGTGACTGTGACCTAAGTGTTGTTTTATTTTTCTGGTCCTTTGGGATCATTTCTTTGGACATCTTAATCACTGAAAAATAACTATTGTCGGATACACAAACTTTATCGTTTAACAATTCTATGTAGATAAATCAGAAAATTAATATTGAGAAGATTTCAACATTTTTTAGTGATCTTTGGAGCTAAAGAACGATAACTCTTTCCATCGTATTATGTTGCGCATGTGCAGTGCGTAACATTCAGTTTTCATATGATTTCAGCCAGTAAAGGTATTAAAGGAAAGGCGAAATGGCTGGTGTATCTAAATCATTTCATAATAGGATGGGTAAGTTAAAATACGTTTATTTTAAAGGCACCTTCATTTTTATTTTAAACATATTTATTTATGCTCGACAGCGAAACAGGTTCTTGCTGCTTACAGTAATCACTTTCGAGTCTGTTTCCTGGAACTAACCAGTATTGGTATCATATGAGGAAACATGGTTGTGACCCGACTTGGACTCGAACCCGTACTCCCTGAGCTTAGAGGCAAATTCCTCTAGATCTTCTAGGCCAAACGTACATGTATATAGTGAAACAACTAAGTCAAGACCGATGACAAAAGTTAAAAATTTGAAACAACTTAAATGTATAAGTCGAAGTAATTCAAAAAATTAATTAACGCTCGTCTGAAATACACGGAAACCATAGGAGTCCTAACAATTATCGTAAAGAAATCATATTCCCTTTTTATCATCTTTTTTATTTCGTTCATTTTTTTAATTTTGAAGTTTTTAAAGAGGTTTTGTTCTTTTGCTGTTATCTAATTACACCTTTTGGTTTATACGACGAAGGCTCTATCCGGATAGCTGTTATTAGGCAGTAAGAAAATATTACAATAAACAGAGGACAATCGCGAGTGTAAACTATTTTTTGTTGTTGATTTGTTAAGTAAATATTTATATTTCCGATCCTAACAAAACTTAATGTCATTGTCAACTTACGCATCCAGCTAACATTACGCTCAAATTGTTTGAAATGAAACTTAAGTTGACCTGTTAAATTTAAAACATTGCGAAACTTTACACGATAGAGCCATTACAAAGAATTCTTTTTTTCTAGATAACATTATATATAATGTAAAAGTTTGAGATGCATTGTAACAAAGTAGGTTTTAATTAGACTATGAGTTTGCATATATGTTCAAAATGATTTTTCCTCTGCCTTTTTATTGTTCTGTAAATCGGATTATAGTAAGAACTAATATGCTTTATTCTGGTATTAAATCTTTTAACAACATAGAGGTCGGAAAGTCACTTAAAAATGATATGGTTCATTTTTGATAGTTAAACATTTATTTAACGGATTTGAAATAATAAAACCTCTTCTTAAAGAACGCCTTATCATATCCATCTTCCTGTTCAGTCAAAACCCACGCAAGGACTTGGACATTATATAGGCGAGTCAAGCCACAAAGAAAAGTCAAAAATTGAAATAAAAGAAGACGTATATAAAATATCATATTCATATTCAATAAACAGAAGGTAAAGAATTGGTTAAAAGGTAAAAGAAAGCAGTCTGGCAACCTGTTATTGTGAGATATGCTCAATTTGACCTGAGAACTATTTATTATATGGATATATCCCAGATTTTACAAACAGCCAATTTAAACTGGTTAGGTGTGGGCAAAGAAACAATGCTTTGGAGCAGGGCTGTTCTATAGTGGAAGGCTGTTCTTCGGAATAATGAAAACTTATGGTAGTCTGTCTGTGCAGGGATTAACTTATAATTATAGTTAGTCTGACATCTCGTATTGAATATGCTTTAAAATCAAGCTAGTGAAACAAATGTTTATCGGTTTAAGCAATATTTTATTTCCTATTTGAAGTGTTTCCCAGCACAACACAAGAAAAGCATTGATGCAAAGCATCAAAGGGCGACGCCAAAAGAATTTGATCCAGATTTGCACCTAAATACTTAACAAAAGATGTGTACTTTATAGCAGTACCATTACATGTGACCTGGAGGCTAGGGCCAGGTTAAGTTGAAACTTAAACCACGGATTTAAATTACATATGTCAATTAAAGTCCGTGCTTAAACCAAAAAAGAATAGACTCTGTCTTGCCAAGATGCAAAGGCAATTTATAGTCAATTAAGCAATCTTATAAGACTCATGTTATAAGAAAGAATTTCTTCAGATTTAATTTATGAGACACAAGGATTCCTGAGTCATCAGCATATAATCACTGGCACGAGTATCGGACCTGGGAAGAAAAAATATGACCAGATGACCAGATTGATAAAAAAAAACTGTGTTTATAAAAACCAAAACAAAAAATGTAAATAATGATCCCCTTTAAAAATATACTTTCAACTTGAAGTATATTTTTAAAGGGGGTCATTATTTACATTTTATTTTGGTTGTTGACACTTTTAAGATGAACACAGGTTTTTTTATCAATCTGGCCATATTTTTTCATCCAAGGTCTGATACTCGTGCCTGTGCATTATAATAAAAGCTTATTGCTTAGGGTTGAAGACATGTAATTGACATATATTAGACATAAAAGAGGACCTAAAATGAACATCAGGGGGACAGCATAGGTACTCAGAGCAGTAGTAGAATAAGTACCAGCCACATCAACCAGCTACTATCAGAGATAAGACTTAAACCATGTAAGAATGTCATTATATATGGCAGATGCTTGAAGTTTCATGAAGAAGAAGAAAAACAACTTCTTCATGTGCAGGATAGTGTGTTCAACTGTATCAAATGCCCTTTGTAGATCTAAAAGTATCATGCAATACTGCCTTTGTCCATTTCAAATAATGCAATCTGTTAAATGAATCAAACATGTGTCAATTGAAAAACCACTTCTAAACCCTGACTGAAACTGCCTGACCATGACTCAAACCCATGACTTTCAGAAGACCAACTGAGCTATCCGTCCTGCTACACATTTTCTCTTTAATAATGAAACAGTTCTAAACCACAACATATTTCCCCACTATATCGATTTGTGTTCGTGAATTTCTTATGTTACAGAGCATAGGAAATTGAACTCATGCTTATATGCAGTCATAGGATGAGAAAAACTTTGAGCTTGACCAGAACTCATTAACCTGTGACCAACATAAGAAGAAATTTTATGAAGGCTGATTTGTATTTTGCATCAAGGGCACCGGGCAAAAACATGAAAATGCAACAAACAAACCACTTTGTGGTAGATTGTATTTTCATGTTTTCATCTAGCCCAGTTACTTTTTGTTGGCCATGTGGCACAAATCACCCACTATAAATTTAGTGCACAAATTTATTCAAGGGCAAGTAACAATCTACTCTATGTACAGTCTGTTGTCGCGTTGACTCAGGAGACCTGGAGGTTGAGACCGGTGTCTCTTCATTACAAATAGATAAGACAGAAGCTGTCCTTTTCAAACTATGCACATGTTAGAAAAAAATAGAATAACTATTCAGAATATGATTTTTTGAGACTTTATTAATTATATTGCTTGATCCAAGTTTAAGGACATTTTCAATCAATACATGTTTTATCATTTATAACTTTAAATGAAAGTCTCATCCCTTTAATAATAATGACATAACTGTATCTCTTTAAATGCAGAAAAATTATAAGTCTCAACCTATCAATATACTACTGTCTAAGATATACATATACATGCACATAACATTAATAATTCCCAGTTTATATTAAATAAATATGAAATCCTAACATTAACATTAACATGCTTTTGATGACCTTACATCTGGTGAATTATATACAACAAAAATAGTATTATAAGTAATACCTAAGATAGACAGAAAAGAACAAATAATTTAGTAAACAAAAGTTACTTCCCCTTAAAATAAAGAAAACCTGAAACCCAAAAGAACACGATAAACAGCAAAATTATGAAATGTTGCAGGTTCAATTTTATCAAGCCATGCAAATTAATGGTAAAGTATTCATAAAAAAATAGATGCCAATGAAATTCATTCACTTAACGTGTTTAACATATCATTGAGTGACAGAAGTCTAAAAATGACGAAATTGCAAATAGTGGGATGAATCGTGTACGTATATGCTAAAATAAAGTGACGTCCCTCAAATGAACAAAATGAAAAATGAAAATGCCGCACAATCAGAGAGTGTGAGGACACATTTTAATTACATGTAATAAATTTTTTTATTACAAGAGATTTTTTTATATTATCTACGTATCCACGAGTGCACATAAATGCGAATGAATTAAGGTCGAGCAGTTTTTGCAGATGTAATATGGACATTATATAGACATATGTATATAATGTCTTGGGACATATGTAATGTTACATTGTACATTTACAGGACGACAATATCTGGTGGTTTGCCCTCGGTCTGTTTCTGATAGAGATCACACCTCAGAATCTACAGTTTACTGCGAGTTATGGCCTAGTTGGCGGTATTGTGGTCTTGTTGTTCGGGACAGTGGTTGGTGACTGGGTGGATAGAACATCGAGACTTACCGGTAGTTAAATTTAATAGTAACAATTAAACTTTACATAATGCTTTGTTGCACTATGTGGCCAAGTGGTTAAGGTCGTTGACTTTAATACCACTTGCCCCTCACCTCTGTGTGTTCGAATCCCGTCCGGGATCTTGGAGTGTTTTATGTGAGGAAGCTATCCAGCTAGCTACCGGGACGCCGGTGGTTCTAATCAGGTAAATCAGGTGCCCGTTCGTGCCGGAAATAATACGGAGGAGCACCTGAAGTCTTCGATCCTTCACTAGTAAAGCTGGCATGTCGCCACATGACCGCGACGTCATACTAAAACAACACAAAAAAACAAACAAACAAACAAACAAACAAACAAACAAACCTAAAAAATAATGTTATATTGCATTTTGAAGAAGATGTCTAATTAAGTAAAGTCCATGACCTTTACTATTCGGTAAAGGAAGTTCCTTATGCACATTCAGATTAAAACATGTGATCAAAACCCGATTTTGACATCCAGATTCGCTTTAAAAGTTACCAGCAATGATGTCATATGATGTAACATAGTTTTGGCACTGTTAGAGTACATATCGACGAAATCTAGACTATAATTAAGGCAGATGTCCTCATCACTAATCTAGCCCTCTCCTTACACCATTCCTTTCATACAGTCTGAACGCTTGCATGATAATTATGCCATTATTCATGACATCAATATTCATGTTTATGTTCACAACAAAAAACTTTTGACTTTTATTTTCAGTTGCTCGAACAACAGTCCTCGTTCAGAATTCAGCCCTTATTGTCTGCTGTATAATTGTGTACGTTGTTATAGAGTACAAAACCGATATCGCCGAGGTTCTTCCGAATGAAGGCCTACTGCGCATGTGCTATGCTCTAATCATAATAATTGCCATTTTGTCAAACTTGACAAATATGGCGCGAAAGACAGCCATCGAGAGGGACTGGATTGTGGAAATATGTGATAAAGACCCTGATATGCTTGCAAGTAAGCCTCCGTCACAAATTATAAAATACTGTATTACCATCGATTGATTCGATACTGTATTTAAACTGACTGCAGCGTTTTGTTGTAGTGGTTTACAAGTATTCGGGTATGCGTAAATAATTTTGTAAATAGACCCCTTCCTGAACAATTAAGGTTTTAATTCATAATTGTTTACCTCATTTACATACTTTGTTTACAACCATGTACATGAAGATAGAATTTCACTTCTGTATATTAAGAAATAGGCGGATTGCGTGGCCTGCAAGCACCCCTATTTGATGTCTTTTTCCATTTTCTTATAATGTGATATAAAATTCTCCATTATAATTGGCTTTTGGCTGTCGGTGTACCGACAGAAATTATCATTTTTTGTTCTAAAATTCCGAATCCAACGCTATAAAGATCTCTTCGGACTATTCAATACTGACATGACAATGGTGTTTTTAAGGGATTATGAATCTTTATTATAAAAATATAACTTCGCATTTGCAGAACTATATTATAACGCGGATGAGCAGAATATATCTTAAATGAATATTGATTTCGTTATATATGCGAATACATGTGTGTAATAACGGATGACATTTATCTCTATCTGTGTCCGTTGATTTCCATGAAACTTGCACACTTCATATTTGTACAAGTATTTTGACGAAATTGTAAACGAGTACTTTTTTAGTTTACAAACATTCACGTGTTCGGTTATTCTACTAGGAAACATATAAAGTGCATTTTATCTTCCCGTATTTCTGTAAAGTTGCATACAACATGGCACCTTGTCAAGACAGGTCTTTATTTAGATAAAGTTCTTATTTAGATAAAGTTCTTATTTGTTTTAGCCATTAACCTTTCAAGCTTGTGATATGGCCTTGTTTGCAACAGTCCTTAATTTATAGTTCTAAGGGATTCCAAAATGAATAGATCAACGATGCTAACCTGGCTCTATACTAGTGACAAATGCTTATGTTTGGTCCCACCAGGTAAAGAGTTATTCTATTTTTAGGTCTGAGTGCAACCATGCGGAGAATCAGCTTGCTGACAATGGTTATAGCACCAATAGTCACAGGTCAATTACTTAGTAGGACCTCCCATAGCACAGGTGCACTTGTAGTCGCCGGATGGAACTTTATCACAATTTTCGTTGAGTATGCCCTTCTATGGAAAATATACCAAGAGGTGCCTCAACTTAGCAGAGAGAAGATCAGAGGTATGTGCATTTGTTAGAGAGAAGGTGAGAGATGTGTACATATGTAAGAGAGAGAGCGAGAGAGAGAGAGAGAAAATTAACCATGGCAACGAAACAATAAACTAAAATAGTTAACATTTCAAGTGTTAGAAGTCCTTGAAATCAATTAATTAAGAACATGCATAACATTGGAAGGTATAATACTTCTAAACCAGACAGAATCGTTTTCCATTTTTAAGTTTCAAACTCTTACAGTGAAATCATTTGATACTTAAGATATTTGCAAAATACACTATGTATATGTGCACTTCATTTTGTATATCGCATCTCAGACTTCTTTCTTATGCAAAGGTCGAAATCATATGGAAACGCTAATTCTTATAGGAAACATATAAAAGTATTTCCTATGTGGAAATACTTTCCAGTGTCGCATGTTAATAAAACAGGACTATGCTTAGTTACTTTTAAACAATTTTCTCTCATATTTATAATTCATATTGAAAATTTTTCTAATCAAGAATTCGTATTACCAACTTACAAATACCTTACAATTTTCAGAAGAACGTCATATGATGTTTATTGAACATATGCAGGGCGTCGATGTGATAATGGAGTTTAATGATTTGGAAGAAAAAGGTATAATGTAAAACTTAGCTTTTTGGCGTCTTTTATCTGCAAACTATCAAATCGACTCTGCATTTTCTTCACTTATTAATTTTACTTCAGTGGTCCTGAAGAATTTCAAAATTTATATGCTTATGATGAAAGTAATTTATCACCATTTTTGTAACAAACTATTTATTATTTCTTTGTTGTTGTTTTGTACATAATTGAGGCGTATATGTCATTTCAAGGCGGTTCACACTTCTCTCGCGCAAAAGATGTAATGAGCTTTTTGAAATTTGTCTTTATATATATATTTTAATACAACACGTAAGAAAGTCCTTCATTTATATCAAAATTGAGATATTTTGAACAAAAATCAATTATGTTCAAGAAGCTTGGATGTGTAAGTAATGGAAGAATATAGTCCAAAATTACACGATACTCGTACGTTTGTGTTTTTCGGTCGTTGTATCTCCTTTCATTGACTAGTAAGTTCATAGCAATGAAATTGTCCTTATTTGCACAATACCAATATGCCAAGTTTATAACCTACCGTTATCACACACCTGTGCCGATTTTGCGACTCCGTAAATATGGTATTGCACGGCCGAGCATATATTTTGATGTGACGTCGTTAGCCTTATACAAACATAGTGTTAAGACGACGCGAAAAATGTTAGCGTTATACTACAGGCACGTCAATGAAACATGACTCTAATTTCACTTTAAACGGTCTTTATTTTTTATATGAAAAATAGAATATTAAATTCGTGTAAGTTCAATACTGAATGTATTGCGCTCGTTGAATAATATAATATTATGCTCGCCAGAGGCTCGCATAACATAATTTTATTCAACTCGTGCAATTAATTCAGAATTGAACAGTAATCAGAAAATTTTAGACCTCTGGCATCTCTGCAGCAATCTGCCATCACTGACGACGGTAATACGTTGTGCCGGGTTAATTTTGTTTATTGTTCAATATTGTTATTATCCTTTTTAAAACGTCCGCATTTAAGCTTAGTAAGTATTTTAAGCGGAAGTAATCACTAATCAATACCTAATTCATGTGGAATCATTGTAGACACTAAAGTTCCCAACCAGAATGCTGACAAGGACGTCATCAAGGAGTCAAAACTTGAAGACGACAAACCGAAGTATACATTCTGGACAAGTCTTTGTGCCAGCTATTTTACTTTGAGGCGTGGATGGAAAATATTCAAAAATTATGAAGTAGCATTTGCTGGACTTGCTTTAGCGTCACTTTACCTGACTGTTCTTGGATTTCATAGCATTACTATTGGTAAGACTCTAGCTATTCATACGTTTTCGACTATATTTGATTACAAGGAAAACATGAAATGCATAACATGTACAATTTACTGAGAAGTTGTTGATGTATTGTGGTGTTCTGTACCGAAATGTTATGAAACACCAAATCTACATATACTAAAAAATTTCGAGAGGTCTTTAAATAATTGTACAGCTCTCTGATTCAATTTATGATATCGAAAATTAATTTAAAACCTCACAATAAATGAAGTGAAGACCTTTTCAATTCGATTGAAAACATTAAAAAATTAAGGAGTTCATCTCTACCAAAAATTGTGCGCGCTTTAATTATTATATGTCCAGATAAAAAATGTCTTTGACAGATCTAAATTACTGCGGACAAAAATGCATGACCAATATATGCTTGTTTCTCTATTCATAGGTTATGCTTATTCACAAGGATTGAGTGAAGATCTGATTGGCGGCCTGGTAGCAGCAGCGGCATGTTCTGGCATTATTGGAACCTTTCTGTACCCGAAGATAAGACACCAGATTGGTTTACAGCGAACAGGACTCTACGCTTTAGCGGCAGAAGTGTCCAGTCTTACTCTGTGTGTCATTTCCATATTCTGTCCCGGAAGTCCATTTGATCCACTCTATTTTTCACGTAATTCAAATGCCGAAATCGATAGCGAAAACTTAATCGAGTATACTACGTCGTTTTCAAACAATATTACTACTTTTAATGTAACGACTGAGCCAATGACGGATTCAGCATCAGCAGTGACATCATACGTGTCCATATCACTCCTACTAACGGGAATAATAGGAGCTCGTATAGGTAAGTTGGAATTATATCCAGTGTACGACTATATATACCTTTCCAAAAATGATAGGAATTGCCGTTCTGTCGGGTATTTATTTTTTTCTCTCGTAAAATAGAGTCCTTCTTGAACAATAGTAACCTGACAAAAAGCATGGTGACTGGCGTGCCCTGTACGCGCCCCTTTTTAGCTCACCTGTCACAAAGTGACAGGGTGAGCTTTTGTGATCGCTTTTCGTCCGGCGTCCGTCCGTCGTCCGTCCGTAAACTTTTACTTTAAATGACATTTTCTCATAAACCACTCAGCCAATTTCATCCAAACTTCACAGGGATGTTCCTTTGGTGGTCACCTTTAAAATTGTTCAACGAATTTAATTCCATGCAGAACTCTGGTTGCCATAGCAACCGAAAGAGCAATCTTTAAATATCTTCTTTTAACATGTTTGTTCAAATAAAAGCCCTGGGGTCAAAATTGGCCCCGCCCCAGGGGGTCATTGATTTTCCCTATATGCATATAGTAAAAACTTAAAAAATCTTAGAACTTTTAAAGAACCCAAAGAGCAAGAGCTAAGATATGTAGCATGAAACATCTTCTAATGAGTGTCTACCAAGTTTGTTCAAATAAAAGCCCTGGGGTCAAAATTGGCCCCGCCCCAGAGGGTCATTGATTTTCCCTATATGCATATAGTAAAAACTTAAAAATCTTCTTTTAAAGAACCCAAAGAGCTAGAGCTAAGATATTTAGCATGAAACATCTTCTAATGAGTGTCTACCAAGTTTGTTCAAATAAAAGCTGTAAGTTCAAAATTGGCCCCGCCCCGGGGGTTATGATTTTCCTTATATATACATGTGTATAGCAAAAACTTAAAAATCTTCTTTGAAAAAACCCAAATAGCTAGAGTTTAGATATTAAGCATAAACGTCATTGTTTTTCACTATATGTGTGTAGTTAAAACTTAACATCATGAAACATCTTCTATTTGGCGTCTTCCAAGTTTGTTCAAATAAAAGCGCTGGGGTTTAAACTGGCCCCGCTCCGGGGGCCTATATACAGGTGAGCGACCTCAGTGTCATCATGGCCCTCTTGTTAAGGTTTTTGTCGTCCATTTTTGTTATCACGTGGTATTAAATTCTCAATTCTGATTAGCTTAGGACAAGCAGTGTACGGGTAGAAATGGTCAAATTTAATTAATTGTATATATGTCGACGGCGACAGTGATACCCAGAACAAGACTGGCTTTCTCCTATCTCTATCAGCTTGGAGAATCACACATTTTTCCGGTCTTATAGTTATAATTAAAAGATTCTTGAAACTAAGGTGAGCATTAGTTTATCTGAAAGTTATTTGCAGGCGCACTCAAGCATTGAAAAATTTACATGGCAAGCACTTTTTTCCAGGTTTGTGGCTGGCTGACCTAACGATTACCCAGTTATTTTTAGAAAGTGTTGACGTCACAGAACGTGGAATTGTTGCTGGTGTACAAAACGCACTTAACGAGCTCATGGACATGCTAAAATATGCGATAGTGATTTTACTTCCGGTCCCGGAAGTATTCGGATACCTTGTCATCATATCGTATTGTTTTATATGCCTCGGTTGGATATTATTTGCCGTTTATGTAAAGAAAGTACGTGGTTACGTGTTTCCTTGTTTCAAACCAAAAGCAAATTATGACCTCAAAAGCGATATTTGAAATATTTGCGGGAAAAGAATGTCTCATTTATTGTATGCTTATATGTTATATAGAATTTTCATCTCTCAAAATTCACAAAAATATAAATCCATTTCATCAATTTAGATGGATGTTTAATTTATCAATAGGAAGCTTTGTATAGTGGTAACACATTTCTTTGAAGATATATTGTTCTGTTGAAAAAATGAAAATTTGAATACAATGAAAAATTATTATTTGTTTCTTCTTTATATATAAAAATAAAAAAAATACCAGTCATGTTAGACAAGGTCTTTCAAATAGATAAGAATATAACATTTTGTATTGGGATAACGTTTGTAGAATGCATTTGAGCCGCGTCATGACAAAATCAACATAATGGGTTTGCGACCAGCATGGATCCAGACCAGCATGCGCATCCGCGCAGTCTGATCAGGATCTATGCTTTTCGCTTACAGACCCTATAACAAGAAAAAAACTGATAGCCCTGATCAGCTAGACTGCACAGATGCCCAGGCTGGTCTTGATCCATGCTGGTCGCAAACCCATTATGTTGGTTTTGTCGTGACACGGCTCATTTATGTTTTATCGTTTATAATTTGTAACGATTTGAAATAAGTATCAAATGAGGGACAAAGAAATATGAATGCACGTTTGCCTTTCAAAAAAAAAATATTTCCTGAAAGTTTTTGTATTAGCTATTCAGTATGTTAAAGGATTTTGAAAAAGTCAATCGTTGTTACCTGAACCATCTTCTGCTTCAGCTGCTATTAGCTTATTGGAGTAGAATAGTAGAATAGAATATTATTTGTATGACATGAAAATCACAATAAAATATTATTGACGATTAAATAAAGATGTAGTCTAAGAAAATAAAGTTTAATGCAATAACTAATATCATTAAATTGAAGAATTAACTAGTTATGCTAACTAGGTCTTAAGGTATATTCCTTGTAAATATGAGACATTGGCAAAAAGAAATACAAAAGCTGTACACAAATTTGTAAACATAATTATATTGTTAGCACTGTAAGTGACATTGACCATGTGACTCCCAGCACTATAAATAAAGTCTGTATAAGCCATCTTCGGATACCCACGATTGATCAACATGTTACATAACATGCAATTAATAATAATAGGGGTAGGCCCTAAATGTAAAATGGTTCGGCCGTAGGTATCCGATGATAGCATAAGCCAATGTCTAATAATCTATTTTAGGCACACTTGACCTTGACTCACCTCTTACTCAATCCAAAGGAAGATGACCATGCAAGGTATCTTCTAACTAAATATGAAAGATATCTGTCCATAATTAAAGGCTGTTTGAAATCATTAATAGCACTAGTGACCTTTACAACTTATGGATAAAATAATCTTTTTTGTTTTTTGTAGTTTTTACCTCCCTTTATTTGCAATTATTTTATACAGAAAGAAAATAATTACTGTTATAATACAAAAGTAAACGTTGCAACAATCGAAGTCTACAAAATATAATATAAAAAGAACACTTTTAAAAGTATATAAGAATTGATTGAATATTGTAACCCTGTGTCTATTAGGTTATTCTGCGTATAAAACGTGAATATTACCTGTTGAAGTCGGACGACCAAGTGGTATAACATTACTAATATATGCCTGAAAAGTGTTTATTAGTTAATTTTGAATGCCCAACATGGGTACTGATTAACAAATATTAGAGTTTGTTTCAACTTGCTGTTCATGATAACATAATCATTATGTAGGCATAAACATACCTACGTGTACAATGCATAATAATAATATAAATGACAGAAACTTTTCATCTATCATTATTTTTTTGTGGAGAAGGTCAAGCTTAATAACTTCTTTTCATATATCATATATTTTATATTATGACATAAATATAATTTGCTTAAAATAAGAATTTTTTTTAAGTTCAAATGGCGGAGCCGCGCTGCTATGGTATGGAGGGCGTTCGTTGCCAAAATTCCAGACATGTAAAGTGTTCCTTTTTAAAATGACTTTTGAAAATGCGAACTTGTATGCCTACTATTTTCTATTGTACCCGTGCATAGCACATACTATGCCTATTAATTCAGTCTTTTAATTGAAGGTGCCCGCCTTTATATAACAAGTTTACATATATATCGTAACAACTGACCAAACATCTAAAACGACAACACATTTACAAGTTCGTATCTTCCATTGCATGCAATACATATGTATGTTTGCACACTTATAGAAATGAAATATACAAATGAAATGTAAATCTTAAATACAGAAAATAGAGTTTAAGAAAACGTGTTACCAGTTGTAGAACTACAAGAGTACGTTAACACAGTAACATGTTTAAAATGACAAAAGTAGATTCACAAAGTTAAACGATTTTAAGTCAAGCATAACGCCCCGCCCCTCTCGGAGTATTTACGAACTTCTATTGCGGACAGGTATAAAACGGCGCCTCTCCCATATTTCTAAATAAAACTGAAGGACAACATACGGCATTTTTCATAACATATATTTGTTACATTTGTTACAAAAGTTTTGTCACTAGCAACATCACTTGAAAATTATGGAGGGCGATCGTTGCCAAAATTCCAGACATGTAATGTGTTCCTTTTGAAAAACTACTTTTGAAAATGCGAACATGTATGTCTAGCATTTTTTATTGTATTCGTGCAGTGCCAATGATATGCCTCTTAATCCAATCTTTTAATTGAAAGCACTCGCTTTCAAATAACAAGTTTACATGTAAATCTTAACAACTGACCTAACATGGAGAACAACAACAAATTTACAAGTTTATATCTTCCATTGCATATAATACTTAAGCATGTTTACACACCTGTAGATATCTATCTGTACCTGAAAAATACAAAGGAAATGTAAAACTCGAATACAAAAAGTATTATTCAATAAAACGTGTTTCCAGACGTAGAACTGCAACAGTACGTTTACACAGTAACATGTTTAAAATGACAAAACTAGATTTACAAAGTTAAACGATTTTAAGTCATGCATGACGCCCCGCCTCTCTCTGAGTATTTACGATCTTCTATTACGGAAATGTACGGACAGGTATAATACCCGTCGCCTCTCTCCTATTTCTCAATAAAGTGAAGGAAAACACGGCGTCCATTCTAACTTTTTTTTTAATTCTATAAAAAGTCAAATACTTTTGGTATCAAATGAAAGATTACTCCATAAGCTTTCTATGAAAGCCTCGGAAATAAGAATGAACTAAATAGATGTATTGAAATTTTTGTTTCAAAATTTATCATTTTTTTCCTCTGAAAATAACACTCTCGAATTGGTAAGAAAAACACGGCGTTCCCTCCAAACTTTTTTTTTTATTTCGTAATCAATTTTGATAATTTTGGATTGAAATAAAGGTGTGCTTCATACGCTTTATGATAAATAAATATATAAAGCCTAAAAATAAAAATGAATTAAATCAAAATGAATTAACTTTTCATTTAAAAGTTTATCATGTAACTTTCTGTAAAATAGAGAAAATAAGAATCCCTAAAGAACGCTCAAAACGACAAAATTGATAATGTTGCAGGCTTGGTTTGATTGAGCCTGTTCACGGACGGTAATGGAAAGAGCAAGTTACCGGCAACGCCCCCTAGCACCGGCTTAAGCAAAATTTAACATGAACTCGTACAATTTTGAATTTTGAAACATCCGCAGATGTGTTAATAAGGCGATTATCATGGAACCTTCAATGTGACACGTTAGTGCCATACCATGAAAAACGGCATATGGCCCCCAAGTAAAAAATCAAAACACACTCTGAAGTTCAGTAAGAGAAACATGGCGGGGCGCCCCTTACTTACTTTTTTATTTCTTGGCCAATTTTGATAATTTTAGACTCAAGTAAAAGAATCCTTTATGAACTTTCTAGTGATGCCTTAAAAATGAAAATAATTACGTAGAAGTATTTAAAATTTTGTTTCAAACTTATCGTTGTTTATTTTTTATCTCTTAAAACCACAACTCATATATTAGGGGCAAAAATCACGTCGCTTTCTTTAGATACTATTAAAAAAAGAAAATGAATATTGAATGAAAGTTAAGACCATAAGCTTTGAACAAGCATATTAAAAATCTGGAAACAAAGTGATCCCTCGGAAGCATTAATCACAACAAAATTACATAAGAATTGCAGACTCGTTTTGATTGAGTCTGTACATGAGGGATTATGAACAAGTGCTACATCCCTCACGCCCCCTAGCACCGGGTTGAACGGTATCAATTCTCAACACTTAATAGCGCTGGCATCAATGATCCCGTAGGACCAGAAAAATATAACAACACTGAAGTGAAGTACGGGGCAACTTTTTACTTCTGCCACACGGCACTTGACACCTGCTGTTATGAAGTATAAAAATCTGGAAACAAAGTAATCCCTCGGAAGCATTAATCACAACAAATTAAATTACATAAGAATTGCAGACTCGGTTTGATTGATTATGTACATGAGGGATAATAAACAAGTGCAATTTTTTTTTATTCATACTGAAAATACCTTATTAAAGATTGTACATATGTGCTACGGATAAGTATTTTCTTGATTCGGAAAGAAAATCTCGGTGGCCGCATTAAAATCCTATTTTTGCAAATACTTGCATAGTTTTTGTTGAAAATGAAATGTCTGCCAATACATTTTTCAATGATACCAATAAAAATATTGGATGGGTTTTAGATTATCAATAAAATTACTCCCTTGAAGTTGGTAATTGATTCCCTAAAAAATTTCCAAAGCGCCGATGTTTCTCAGGAATATATGATAAACAAGATCAACAAGGAAAGGCGGCGCTCAATGAACGCAACCCCACATGACCCAGCAACAAGAACAAGTAGCAAGGAACCCAGGCGGACCCCAAACAAAACACAGGACAGTGCACTAGGCAGAGCACGGACAGGCTAATCACTAAAATGATAAATAATTTGTAACTGAAGAACACGATGTTGAATAATAAGTTAATGCATAAGTTATCTTCATCATAAATGGTAAAATCAGCAATTTTCTATGGAGGGCGTTCGTTGCCAAAATTCCAGACATGTAAAGTGTTCCTTTTTAAAATGACTTTTGAAAATGCGAACTTGTATGCCTACCATTTTTATTGTAAACCTCTTAATTCAATCTTTTATTTGAAGGTTACCGCCTTTATATAACAAGTTTACATATATATCGTAACAACTGACCTAACATCTAAAACGACAACACATTTACAAGTTCGTATCT